CATCCTCATCAGCAGCATCAACATTATCATCATCATCATCATCATCATCATCAACATCATCAGCATCAGCAGCAGCAGCATCCCCGTCATTATCATCATCATCATCAGCAGCATCATCATCATCATCATCACCAGCATCAGCATCATCAACATCGTCATCATCATGATCATCATCAGCAGCAGCATCATCATCAGCATCATCATCATCGTCGTCATCCTCCTCCTCATCATCATCAGCATCGTCATCATCATCATCATACTCATCCTCATCATCATCAGCATCGTCATCAGCAGCATCATCATCAGCATCATACTCAGCATCACCATCACCATCATCACCATCACAATCATCATCAGCAACAACATTATCATCATCGTCATCATCCTCATCCTCATCCTCATCACCATATTTATCCGCGTCCTCATCCTCATCCTCATCCTCATCCTCATCATCCTCATCAGCAGCATCAGCATCAGCATCAGCATCAGCATCAGCATCAGCATCAGCATCAGCATCATCATCATCATCATCATCATCATCAGCATCAGCATCAGCATCATCATCAGCAGAATCAGCATCCTCATCATCTTCATCATCCTCAGCATCCTCATCAGCCTCCGCATCCTCCTCCATATAATCATCATCATCATCATCATCATCATCATCATCATCACCATCATCATCATCATCATCATCATCATCATCATCATAATCAGCATCATCATCTTCATCATCGTCATCATCAGCAGCAGCATCCGCATCATCATCATCATCATCATCATCATCATCGTCATCATCATCATCAGCAGCATCAGCATCATCAGCATCAGCATAATCCTCATCATCATGAACATAATCATCATCATCATCAGCAGCAGCATCATCATCATCCACATCATCATCACCGTCACCATCATCATCACCATCATCAGCATCAGCATCAGCCTCAGCAGCATCATCATCTTCATTATCATCATCATCATCATCATCATCATCATCATCATCATCATCATCATCATCATCATCATCATCATCCGCCCTCCTCCTCCGCCTTCGCCCACCTCCTCCGCCTCCTCCTCCTCCCTCCTCCTCCTCGTCCTCCTCCTCCATTCTTTTTCGTCATAAATACTTTCTCCCTGTCGCACCCCGAGGCCTTTTTTTAGGGCGGTCCGGGCGTTTCGCCTAGGACGTCCTCACCATTGATGACCCTGAACCTTACACAATGTCAACAGTTTGACAAGTGGAGGGCGGGTGGTTTTCAAAATGAGGCTCTCGCCTTAGCGCCGCGCACATTCATTTCAAACACTTGCAAGAGTTTCACGGGTTGAGGGCGGGTCGTTTTCAAATTGTGGCTCTCGCCTCAGCGCCACGCGCAATCATTGCAAACATTTGCAAGAGCTTCACGGATTGAGGGCGGTTCCTTTTCAAAATGTGGCTCTCGCCTTAGCGCCGCGCACATTCTTTTTAAACACTTGCAACAGTTTCACGGATTCCCATGATCAGCGTACAAGAAATTGATTGTGTTTGGAGAGATTCAGGATTCTGGGGGTGCAACAGTTACGTTGATTCGCGGTGTTGAAGTCCCAGGAATGGCGTTCGGGCACGATTCAGGATCGTCAGGACGCAACAGTCATATTAATCCGTGGCGTTGGAATGCCGAGAACGATTTTTGGGCATGCGTCAAGGTATTCAAACGATGGTCTTCCAACGAGGCAGTTCCCTCAATGGAAATGAACCATTGTAGGGGCCTATGAAGAGGGAGCTTGGAGGGATGGTAGATTCCAACATCGTTAATGATTCTTGGGCTTACACTGGTCCTCCGCCTCCTTCTCCGCTTCCTCCGCCCTCCTCCTCCTCCTCCTCCTCCTCCTCCTCCTCTTCCAACTCCTCCTCCTGCTCCACCTCCTCCTCCTCTTCCTCCTGCTCCTCCTCCTCCTCCTCCTCCTCTTCCTCCTCCTCCTCTTCCTCCTCCGCCCTCCTCAACCCTCCTCCTCCCCCCTCCTCCTCCTCCTCCACCTCCTCCTCCTCCCTTCCCCTCCGCCTCCCTCCCTCCCTCCTCCCTCCCTCCCTCGCTCCCTCCCCCCCTCCCTCCCCCCCTCCCTCCCTCCCTTCCGCCCTCCCTCCTCACCTCCTCCTCCTCCTCCTCCTCCTCCTCCTCCCTCCTCCTCCTCCTCCTCCCCCTCCTCCTCCTCCTCCTCCTCCTCCTCCTCCTCCTCCTCCTCCTCCTCCTCCTCCTCCTCCTCCTCCTCCTCCTCCTCCTCCTCCTCCTCCTCCTCCTCCTCCTCCTCGGGCTGGGCAGGCGGCGGCCACGCCTGCCAAGCAGCGGCGCTGCGGTCAGGCCCCAGTGGCCTCGGCAGGCACAACGTGGGCGGCTCCGCCGGGGCAAGCCGCCAGGACCCTCCGCGAAAACCGGCGGGCCGCCGGTGGCAGGCCGCCTCCAGGCCTGGCCGCCCGAGGCAGGGCGTGCTCCCAGACCCCCGACGACGACAGCGACAACGACGACGACGACAACGACGACGACGACAACGACGACGACAACGACGACAACGACGATGACGACGACGGCGACGACGACAATCACGACGTTGGGGGTCTGGGTTTCGGCAGGCCGCCAGACCGGCTCTGGCTGCCCAGGCCCCGTCTACAGCGAAATCCCTCAGGTACTCGGCTGGCACCGCGCCGCTCGGCCAGCCTGGACTCACGCGCGCGGCTTCTCGCTCTTTTCCCGGCGGACGCCCCCAAGGCCGCAGCCGGCCATCTCCTCTGGCAGCGGGGGCGCCATCGGCGCCACGCTCCGCGCCGGGCCCCGGGGCCTCCGCCAAGTGCTCGGCTGGAGGCTGGAGACGGGGCGGGCCCGGGCGGGCCCGGGCGGGCCGGGGGCGTCCGACGAGCTCCGCTGGGGGGGCTGGGGCCCCGATGGGGTCCTCACGATGGGGCGGGGAGCTTTTGCTCAGCGTGTCGCGGTGGCGGCCCCGGGGACACGCTATGCCTGGCAAGCGGATAGCGTGTCGCTCCGATCGGCGGGACGGGGGGCTCGGTAAAGCTCGGGACGCTGACGCTGGGCGGCCGCGAAATGGATAGCGTGTTGCACCGAAGCGTGGTGGACCAGAACCGGCGGAGCGACACGCTAAGTCAAAATTTCTGGCCGTAGGGGAAGGCTCCCGGGCCGAACCCTCGCTGTTTGCGGCACCGCATCCTTCGAGCCCCATCCCTCAAGACCCCATGTTTGTTGAACTGCCAAAACGCATCAGCCGGACGGGCCCGGGGCGGGTCGGATGCCCTGCCCTCATGGCGCACCCGTGTGGCTTAAGCGGCGTGCCCGGTCGCAGGGGGTGGGGCCCGATGGGGCCCGGTCGGCCAGTGGGGCGCGGCTGCTGGGGCCCAGCAGGAACGCGGGTTTGGATCGGGAGCGTGGCCTCGGGGCCGAGGTGAAAAACTGAGGGGGAGGAGGAGGAGGAGGAGGGAGGAGGAGGAGGAGGAGAGGAGGAGGAGGAGGAGGAGGAGGAGGAGAGGGGAGGAGGAGGAGGAGCTGGAGGAGGAGAGGGAGGAGGGAGGAGGAGAGGAGGAAGAGGAGAGAAGGAGGAGAGGAGAGGAGGGAGGAGGAGAGGACGAGGAGAAGGAGGAGGACGAGGGAGGAGGAGAGGAGGAGGAGGAGGAGGAGCAGGACGAGGAGGAGGAGGAGGAGAGGAGGAGGAGAGCTGGAGGAGGAGCTGGAGGGAGAATAAAGAGGAGGCGGAGGAGGGGAGGAGGAGGAGGAGGAGGAGGAGGAGGAGGAGGAGCGAGGAGGAGGAGGAGGAGAGGAGGAGAAGGAGGAGAAGGAGGAGGAGGAGAAGGAGGAGAAGGAGGAGGAGGAGGAGGCCCTGCGAGCAACGGCGGGGAGCGGAG